CACATTAGACTATAAAAGGAATAAAAAGCGAAATTTTACAAATGCTACATGGTTTTCAAAGATTTTTGATTAAAAAGACTCGAAAATATATAAGTAAAATACATCACATACCTTGAGGTGTAGGACGACGTCAAATTACTGCTTTAGAGGTCGTCGTCGGTCTGAAGACGACGGTGCACATGACGTCACTTCCTGCTGCGCATGCGTAGTAACGGTGTTCTCATAAACGGCGTCGTCGTCGTGCAAACGGTCGTCGATTCGTAAGCTCTCTAATGTCATACTGGCGAAGCTCTCGAGCAACAAATGCCGTTCGTCTTTCTGGTCTCTCGCTTCGTTCATTATCCATCAAATTTCGCACATTCCATGTGCCAAAATGTAGTTGATGCTTTATTTGTTTTCGACCGCAAAAGGTGAACCCACTGGGTGCGGTTTCCCAGCCAGGGTTTTAAGGAARCAGGCTATGTTTAGGGTACCTTTTCTAACCCCTTCCCCTTGTGGAGTGAGCAGAGTGGTTCCTGAAAAGGACTGCTCAGTCATGGAGGCTACTACCGAACTACTCTCCTGTTTCCGAGTCCAAGAGCAGAGCGACTGTAACTTGACCTCCACCGCCTACGTGCTGGCTTGCAACTAAAAGCTTCCAGACTTCACAATCCTGCTCCCGTCGATGCTTACCAATCGCCGCAGGGCTTTAGTTTGTAACCAAGTAGAAGCTGTGCGTGAATTTTAACGTGAAGACTTAGCTGCACAACGAAGTTCCACGACTCTTGACATCACTTGTCCTGGTTCCAGTGGCAAGGATACCTCGACGACTGGAGGACGAGTTCAGCTGCAGTGGATGGCGGTCAGCTCCAATAAAGCTAATCCGTCTTTTGCAGGTCTTGTTTTTAATCCTGACGGGGTGTCCACACACCCACCTCTTCAACCAATTAAGGCTTGAAGGGTTTGCCGGTTTAGTCGCCGACGATCCGACTCTGCGACAGGTTGTACTGGATGAAATAGTACAGTAGCAGGTCTCTTGAACTGACCTGAGCTGTCAAGCGCGCGCCACTCTAGATCTTTTGGATGGACGGTCGCGCTCAAGCAGATTTACCTGCGCAAGCGCGCGTTGTTCTAGATCTTTCGGTGAACGGTCGTGTGCTCGAGCAGATTTAAAAGTTTGAAAAAGTTAGGTGGTAAACAAAACAGGATGCAAAAATACCGTTGAAGAAAATAACGAAATAGGAAAGAAAAAAAGAAAAAGAAAATAGGAAATAGCTAAAATAACTAAAAAATAGGGATCAGAGAAAAAAGTCAAAACATAAATGACTAACAAAATTAAAGAAGAAATAAAGATATACAAGGAAAACCATTTGATATACAAGGAAAACCATTTGAGAAAGTCCAGTCAAATACATTTAAGACAGAAATTAGAAAAAGAAATGAGGTCAAGCTTCAAGTAAAACTATATATGACTAGTAGAAGGAGTGCAGAAGTTTATCGATCACGATCAAGAGAGAAGAGATAGTGGGTCGATTATCAAGAGAAGAAAAGAAGGACAAAAAAGGACAGTTTATGTACCAAAAGATTGTTTACAGAGAGTAGATAAGATCAAGCAACAAACTTTGCGACAATATGATAGATAGGTTATCCAACMGTTAAAAGGGAAGATAGAAAGAAAAGGCATAAGGAGCCAGTTTGAACCTGGAAAAATCATTCAATATGTAGTACTAACCTTAAGAGGTAGAATTTGATACAAAACAATTGCAGCAGATAGTGATAAGATAGGAGAAACGGGCGAAAAAGATAGGAGCGAAGAGAGTTACGACCGACATCTTGACAGCGCGCGCAATGTAAACTGTAAACCCAGTGTATACAGGCTTATTCAGGAATAGGTTAGCTTTCTTCATGTGGATCACTTAGAAGTTTAACATTTCTACGTATCTGACGAATCCAGGCTGTGACACGTATGCTTCTGCTTCCTCTCTGGTGCTGACTATTTTTATGCTTACGCCCTTGCGAATGTTCTCCATGGTCTTACCAAATACGCTGTTGTTCATTAGTTTGAACAGGTTCTTCTCAAAGTCATTCTTTGCCTGCGTACGCTTTTGTGTGTTAAAGTCAATGTAGGAGCGCATCCATGGTTCCTGCGTAAACTTCAAAACGCGGTGTATGTGCGTTACTCGCATTCCATGTCGCACGTAGAACTGCAGGTTGCGGTAATGCACCACGTACTTCTTCTTGTCCATCAGGTTCATAGTTAGTTTCCTGTACGGTTTGTATCCGGGACACATTTGCTYTTGCAGCGGACTCAGCTGCTTAAACGGTATCTCTATCGCTTCTGGTGCTAACGGGAACTCATCGTGCGCGTCGTGCAGGTGCGCTGGGTGTTCCAAATCCATTTCTAAGACATAACCTTTGTCGTCTTCTTTACTTACCCGCATGTAGAAGTCTATCGGTTTCACTTTGTCCCATTCGAAATCCCTTACGGGTAAGTACTGCGACATTGCCCAGCCGTAAAGGTTGTTAGCGTCTAAGTAAAATATGTATGTGGTTGGCTTCTCTGGGTCGTACTCTACTGTGGGATTGTTTGCTCTGGCGTATCGTCTGCTGGGCCCGCAAACGCCACCACGAATACCRTCTTCCATAAACCGGTACATGTCGTATTCCGTTAGGAGATCCAGTTGCGCGTTTGTCTTCTTTAGCAGCGCACTCCAACTAAGCCCAGGAGCCGTGTAGAAGTTCGCTGGATCCAACCCGTAGTATTCCATTGCCATGTTTCGAAAGCTTTGAAAGACGTCCGCTAGTAGGACGACGTCAGACCTTAAGTAGATGTCGTGGTAGTCCCCCATCGTTTCGCAATCATGCTTCTGCCACACGTCTAAGGCGTGCTGGTACTCTTCGTCCTTTATTTCGGACTCGGTTAAGGTGCTGTAGAATCTCTCTTTGGGCGGTAAGGGCTTTTCAAAGCGCTCCCAGGAATCCATGTACTCATATGGGTACACTCCTTTCCTTTCTGCGCCGTATTGGCTGGAAATGGGGAACTCCGTGTTGTATTTCACGAGATTCGCTAAGGAGTCCGCCATGAACTGCTGCTAGTCTAAGAACTTCAACTTGCCTACGGTTACGGACATGTAGCGCTCTTTGTTATTGGGTATACACTTTACTTCGGAGCCGTCGGTTCCTTGTAAGAGTAAGTGACTGTCGTAACCCCTTAAATTGTGAAAGAATACGGGTATTTCCATTTCTGGATCTACTTTGAAGTTTATATTRCATTTCCAATGMGYYGCMCCTCTGTATTTACCCGTGATGTGGCAGTGATCTCTAACCTTATCCACATRGAAATCCTCAACGAATGCTTTATGACAATGAATGCAGTGGGTGGAAGGCTCGTTGGTCTTTTCCCCCTTCCTTGCATACCTGCCACATTTAAAATGAACTTCTCCTAGATACTTTCCATCTTCGTCCCACGCTTTCTTGGCTTGTCTTCCAAACTGAAGAAGCGTATGTTGGCAAATGTGGCATTTCTTTGCCTTGGCAAAAGCCTCCTGGTTCTCTTTGGTAAATACCATCTTCTTTGGGCGTCTTCATCGTTCTCTTATCTCTTCCTCCTCTTCTCGCAATGCTTCTAGAAACTTATTAGCAGCGTTCTTACCTCGGTAAATAGCAGGAGGGTTAGCCTTACCGTCTGATCTGACTACTATGTAACCAAAGGAGCAGATCTCGTGTAATCCCACCTTATTCGTGGCACCACTTTTCTGCTCTTCCTTAGAGTTATCAACGCTTCAAAGTCTGCATATATCACGTAAGGCACCTGCATCTGCTGTTGATGGTCTGAGTACGATAGGTTCTTATCTGTGGGCATCTGGATCCGTTGCGCTACTTCCTCTACACCGCGGCAAATCTCGTCGTGGTCCTTTAAGGACTTTAAGGAGGTAAACGATAATAAGCAGCAATCGCAGAAGTATTTCTTGCCTTTGTGCTTGGTATGTCTGTAAAACAGTCTGCTCACATGTTTGACCCATGAGTAGTGTCCGCCGTAGTAGAAGAGGTGTATTCGTTCTCCTTTCGCCTTCGACAGCACTAGTGGCACTATCGTTTGATCCCTGGCTCCGTAAACGTTAATGGC